AGATCCCATGAATTATGAGACACCTGAATATTAACTAGAGGCCACTGCTGCACCACAGAGAGCTCACCTGTCTAGACTGCTAACTAATTCTGCTCTGCAGTGGTCATGAGAAGCTCTTGAGAAGCAGCCGCACAGAGCCACCAACTCTACAGCCTTGGCCAGTGTAATAGGCTTAATATGGAGCCTTTCAGAGTTACAGTATTGAGAGATAAAGATACAATTTCAGATTAATCAGCAGGGGGCGCTCAGACTGCAGTCTGTGCAATGTATGATGGGGACACTGCAATAAAAATGAGGTCCTGACTCTCCATGGGCCTCCTGCAGATTAAAAACCCCAGGGTGTTTCTCGGAAAGAGTAGGGGTGTTGCCCCAGTGCCCAGGCCAAAATTTCCATTGGCCTTTACCAGTCATGGGCTCTTATAACCCCCCTCTCTGAACTGGCCTCATCACTCTGCTCTCCTCCCCACTGAGAGCTGGTGTGTGGGGGCTGACTGGCGCAGGTGTGGCCACACACTGGTGGTGGTGGAGGGGATCCCCATTACCTGTAGAGTGCTTTGATTGGTGTGTCCACAAAAGTGCAATGTAAGTGTAAGCGTTATTTTCATTGTCATTATGATTAATTATCACTGCTTGAGACGGTCATGGTTCATAACTGTACATCCCATAACAGGCAGGCAGTTAATACACTATCTCTTCAACTATGACTTGATTCCTCATAGGTATCTGTCCACCTCAAACCATTTCAGGTGCACTCTGTAACAGTTTGCCTCCACCACCCATTTTAATCTTCTCTTTAAAGAACTGGCCTCCCAGACTCAATGTGATGTTTTCTGGGGATATCATCATCCTGTCAGCCATTCTACTGCACCTGCTTCGCCTGCTCCAATGACCTCAACAAGTCTTCCTTCTCTCGCTGGTGTTGGCCTGTCAGTCTGTCAATCTCCCGGTCATGCCCCGCCTCCTGCTCCTGATAGGTCCTCTTCAGGGACAGCAGCTCCGCCCTCTTCCTGGCTATCTCCCCCTCCCTGTCACTGAGCTCCGATTGGGCGTGGAGGAGGTCGTCGCGGCAACGCTGCAGCTCCTAAAAGCCATCGAAACAGAGGGAGTCAGTCAGCTGGTCCACCGGCATGTTGGTCCATCTGTCCGGCCGTCTCCCTGTCCCCGGTGTCCGTACCTGCGTCAGGCGCTCCGTCTGGGCCGGGTCCGGGCTGCTGCTCTGTAGCTGATCCAGCTGGGCGCTCATGGAGGACAGCCTCTCCTGCAGCTCCCCCAGCTCCTCCTCGAACTCCTCCTTCTCCAGGCGCGCCTGCAGCAGCCTGAACCACAGACAGGACTCACGGTGACCACAGCTCTTCCTCCCCACCCCCTCCCGCCAGTTCAAGAAAGGTTGCAAAGCCACCAGAATCTCTTCTCGTCCAGTTCACTGAAAGAAGCCAGGGTCCCGGCTTCGACTCCATGCCTGGAACCTACGCCCCCCGCCCTGAGTGCGCCTCCCCTTCTCAGTTTTAAAAGAACACTGAAGACCACCACTGGGTAGGGGAGACTTTTCTGTTCAAGACGAGAACCGTCAGTTCCTTCGGCCTGTCAGCACAGGCACATTACTTCTATCCCAGAATCCACCCGCCCGCCCTCCTCCGGACCGATTCCCGAGAGGATTTAAGCGGACAGAGGCTTTGCCAACGCCAAGCCGAGGAACACCAGGTGTTACCCAGGGGAGAGACAGAGGCACGTTTGCCCAGTTAGGACACTGCAACTACTAAGCAGGCGCCCCTGCAGCTTCTGCTGTGAGCAACGGTATAAAAAAAAGCCTAGTGATTTTCCCAAGTATATACAAGGCCTTTTCCCACTGCAACACCACTCGGACGGTGGAGATCTTTGCTGCCAGTGAGCGTGTTGTAGTTTGTCATAGGTCATGCGAGAATATGCCATTACAGCAGTATTACTCATGAAGAGAAGCAGCAGCAGCGCTTGCATTAGTAGTGCTAGTAAAAGCAGCAGCAGTGTTGCAGGAACAGTGGTAGCAACAGAGCAGCAGAAGGCATGGTGGCCCAGTCGTCAGCACTGCTGCCTCACAGCACTGGGGCCCTGGGTTCAATTCCTAGGGTGCTGCCTGTGCGGAGCTGTGAAGTTTTTCCCCTGGCGCCCCAGTTTCCTCCCACAGTCCAGAGACAGAGATGCTGGTGGGTTAACTGGCTCTCTGGGGAAAACCGGCCCTGGTGCGCGTGCATGATTGTGTCTGTGTGTGCGTGCCCCGTGATGGACCGGCGCCCCGTCCTGGGTGCGCCCCGCCTTGCACCCTGTTAATGTCGGGGAATTAGCTCAAATGGTAGAGCGCTCGCTTAGCATGCGAGAGGTAGCGGGATCGATGCCCGCATTCTCCACAGAAACTTTGGGCGGAGCGGTGGCTCTGTGGCTCAGGATCTGCGCCTGTGACTGGAAGGTTGCCGGTTAAAATCCCGCGGCCGGCAGAGAAATCCTACTCTGTTGGGCCCCTGAGCAAGGCCCTTCACCCCCCCTGCTCCAGGGGCGCTGTACAATGGCTGACCCTGCGCTCTGACCCCCAGCTTCTCTCCCTGTCTGTGTGTCTGTGTCTCCATAGAGAAAAGCTGGGGTATGCGAAAAGACAAATTCCTAATGCAAGAAATTGTATTGGGCTAATAAAGAAACATTATTATTATTATTACTCTTGCTTGGTGGCGCGCAGCTCCTCCTTGAGCCTGTTGCACTGCTCCCTCCAGTGGCTGGTCTCGTCATTGCTCTCCTCCAGCTGCTTCTGCAAAGACTTGACCGTGGTGTTGACCTTCTGTCGCTCGGCCTCGACGCTCAGCTGGGACTGAAGAGAGAGGGAGAGAGACGCACTAGCAACTCAGGAAGCCCCGTCTGCCCCCGAGAGCGGCGGCCTGGTGGGCCGGCGGGGCTGGCGTACCATGGAGACCTGCTCCACGTTGCTCCTCAGCTTGTCTATGTCGGCCTGGTACTGCTGCCGGAGCTGGTCGATCTCCCGGTCGTGGGAGGACACCTCCTCCTTCAGCGCCCCCTTCAGGGCGGTCAGCTCCCTCTCCCGCTGCCTCAGGGCCTCCTCCTGCCTCTGCCTCGCCGCCCCGGCCTCGGCCATCTCGGCACGCAGAGACACCAGCTCCTGTGTGGCGGGAGGGAGAGAGCCCTCTGAGCTCCGCGGCGTCAACGGGACACCCCGTGCAGATGCGTCAGGTGCCCGCGCGCGCGTGTCCGCGTGTGCGTACCGTTGCCAGCGCGTCCCTCTCGGCGCCGGAGTCCGCCTCCCTGCGCAGTTCCTCCTGCAGCCCCGCCAGCTGGTCCTCCAGGTCTCGGACCCGGGCCTCCGCCGCCTCCCGGTCCATCCGCAACTGGGTCAGCCTGGAAGAGCCAGGCGAGAGGGCAGGTGGGCACACGCGCTATGTGATAATCGAGCCGGCCACACCACTGGGCCGCAACCTGCCTTCTCGATCAACATTCAACCAGCCCCCGATCAGCCTGAAGGCCTCGCCGGAGAGCGAAGAGAGTCTGGGTTTCTCAGGCCGCTCAGAAAGTCCCGGGTGTCTCAGGAAGCCATGGCTCTTTATCTGTGCCGGTCTGGTCCGGGAGCCCTGCCTCCTGGGAGAGGAAACGGCTGGACAGAGCGGCCCACGCTGCCCCTAAAACAACTGTGACTGACCCTCCACTGCTCCCACATCCGCGACGCGTTCAAACGGAGGACAACGCCGAGGACTATCGGTGCTGCCGCCCAGCTTCCCCCGCTGGAGCTCAGAGATGGTCCGGCCCAGCCCGGAGCGCCGATCCTGAGGCTGATCGCTCTCTCAGCGCCACGCCGTTAGAAAAGTCTTTAATCGAAGGGCTTACTGGTAGGTTTGCAGAGTCTACCTTCACTGTGATGC